TTTGCAGAGGCCTCCGTATTCTCTCTGTCAGAGGAAGGCTTGTCTCCCAAGGAGCGTATCTGTACAAGAAGCCATTCAAGGCCCCTTCCGTTCTCCCTTTCGGGTGTTCGTTACCTTCAAAGCAGACTGGAGCAGAGTGCCCTTCAAACAGGTGGCACCTTTGCTGTCTTTGAGAGCCCTTCAAGCAGAGGACTGTCCCCCAAAAGGGGGGACACCTGGCTACCCAATAGATGAGGGATTCTTTCCATTCAAGGGCCAAATTCCATTTCAGAGAAGCTCTTGGGCCTTGTAGTATAGTAAGTGCACCTCTGTATGAACATGCATCTTTCAAACATTTCCTGAGTAACTGTGTGCACTTCTTTGTTGATCCAAAATTATTTAATTGATCCACTTGGGGCACGGCCTTACAGCCACTAAGCACTATCTTGATGATTGTAGGAAGAGCCAGAGACTCCACTCCGACCTTGAAAAAGGGCTCCTTGGGATGGGATGCTTGCAGCTGTGAGTCTTGGATGCTTGCGATGCCCGCTGCAGCTCTGAAGTCAGAGGACCAACTTGGAAGCCAGCGGGGGGGGGGGCATTCCAGGTGGAGGTAATCCTACCAGTGCCTCTCCTGCCTCTCCTTGTGAGCCCTTTGAAAACTTGTGGGGCAGAATCCTATTAGATTCAGAGAGAAAGGCCTACAACACACAGCATGCTCCAGCCTGGAAGTGGGGACAATTAGATGCCTAAAATCAGTCATCTGCCTTCTGGAGAGGGGAGGAATCACGGAGACCAACCATGGCTTTGCTCCCCCCTTGCCCTCTGTTAGGCACTCGTACTTCTTTTAGTTCAGAGGGTTACAGGCAGATATGCTGCCCATGGTCAAGGCTGCGATCCTGAACATGTGTTCTTTGAAGCAAGTCTGTTTGAATGCCACAGGACTGATTTCTAAGTAAATTTGCATAGGATCGCTTTATAATTTTATACTGTTCATTAGCAAAAGGTGTTGGATGGAAGGTGTGTTGTAAGCCGCCCCGAGGCGTCGGCGAATGGGGTGGCATAAAAATGTCTTAATAAATAAAATAAATAAGGTGTGCAGCAAAGAGTAGAAGAAAAAAAAGGGAGGGAAATAGCCACTCAGTATACAAGTCTCTTATGGCGTGATACTAAAAGCAGCACTGGAAATAAACTCCAAGAACATGGGAGCATTTGTTAATAGAGACTGTAATAATTATTGAACTCCCCGTCTCTGTGTGTGTGCGCATACGAAAAATAATAAAGACATTGCTGCAAGAATGGTATAGAAA